AATGTCTTTGTTTTCTGTTGTTAACTCCGGGAAATCAATAGGCATTTCTTCCGGTTGATTGAGCGACATGTTTACAACGGCATGCCTCTGCTGGTACGGTTTGAGCAGATTAGTGTGGTACACCTGTTGCGTTTTACGCCTTCCCAGTCCAGTAACCAAGTAATTTGTGTCTGACAATTTCTGAACTACCTCAACAGGTCCCTCCCACTGGACCTGAAGTTTATTCTTCAGTGAGGGTTTCAGTATCATCACTTTTTCCCCTACTCGAAAGCTTCGCGTCCGGGCTGTCTTGTCATAATAGCGCTTAGCGTTGTTTTGAGCTCTGCGCATTTCCTGCTCCGCTAGTTCTTGAGCTGCGTGAAGTCGGTCCAACAGCTCAAGTACGTATGCTACTACCGAAGGGTCGTCCGCCCGGCCCTCCCAAGATTCTCGAACAATGCGAAGTGGGGAGCGAAGAGCACGTCCGTAAACAAGCTCCGCAGGCGAAAACCCTGTTGATTCGTGAGGAGCGACCCGAAGCGCGAACATAGCTGCGGGCAAGCAAGCCTCCCAATCCTCTTTTTGCTCATAACAAAGGGCGCGTAGCAGCCGTTTCATGACTGAATGTACCTTTTCTACAGCATTTGACTGAGGGTGGTACACTGAACTGTGGATGATTTTAACACCACACTTTTCTAGAAATGTCGAGGTTAGTGCACTTGTAAAAACAGATCCCTGGTCGGACTGAATTTCTGCAGGGAAGCCTACACGTGCAAAGATAGATAAAAGCGCTTTAACTACCTCTTCCGAGCTGAGCTCCTTTAACGGTACTGCTTCCGGGAATTTCGTGGCCGGGCAGAGCACTGTGAGTATGTGCCGGTACCCGGACTGCGTTACAGGAAGTGGACCCACTGTGTCTATAACTAGCCTGCGAAACGGTTCTGTGATAATGGGGACCAGCTTCATAGGTGCTTTAGCCTTATCCCCTGGCTTGCCAACGCGTTGGCACGTGTCGCAGCTTCTTACAAATGCCTCCACCTCCCGAAAGCAGCCGGGCCAGTAAAACTCCCGTAACAAACATTCTTTTGTTTTTTTGATGCCGAGATGCCCTGACCACAAACCTCCGTGGACCAGGTGCAGCAGCTCCTTGCGGAAAGGATACGGTACGACTAGCTGATTAAACCGAACTCCTTTTCGACTCGTGTACTTTCTGTACAAGACGCCCCCCTTTTTGGTGAACTGAATGTTTTGCTTAGCCACCCCTTCCTTCGCGTCTGGCGTTAGGTTACGGAGAGTGGAGTCATTTTCCTGTTCCACTATCAGTTCTGTAGGACTTACATTTAACAGCTTTATAGTGCATTCTACTTCTCGAGATGCCTCGGATTCATCCGGTTTCTTACATCTTTCTTTAGATATTGTGTTTTGAGGCTCCATTATAGGGTGGTCCAGTTTCGTGCCAGGTAAAGAAGGCTCTGCCGCTGAAGCTGTTTCGTCTGCCACCGGATCTTTATAAACTGTCTGAGCGGCGAGCTCCCTTGCTTTGGATCGAGTTAAGGCCTGTACGATACCCTCACTGAACCCAATTCCTTTTTGTCGCAGCAAGTACTCTGATTTATTTGAGAACAAATACGGGTATTGTACTGGGAGATGTGCCGAAACGGCAGCTTCAGTGTCTAGAACACCGAAAGGGCCTTCGATGCGGACTCTTGCTACTGGGAGACATGCACTGTTTGTCTCTACTGCTTGTCTTATCCATGCGCATTCTCCTGTAAACTGACTCTCCTCGACATAGGACGGGTGCACTACATCCATAGTGGCGGCCGAATCGCGGAGCACGCGGCACGGTTGGCCGTTCACGACTAGGTCTCGGATGTATGGCTCTAGCAATTTCATGTTTTCGTCATTACTACAGAGTGACATTAACACAACTTTCGGGTTCTTACAACCCAAAGAAATATGCCCCGTCTGTTGGCAGTTATAGCAAACTATCGGCTTCTTGGCCTCGAACGCCTTTTTCTGTTGCCTTTCCGCCCTTTTCTCGGGTGCTTCTTCCTTTCTCTTGTTTTTCTCATCACCGCTTCCTTTGGAGTCTAAACCCTCCTTCGGCATATACCGACCCGACTTTGTCCATCGCGGAGGCTTGTCGGCCCGATATTTACTAATCTCCCTCCTAGGGACATCCTCGCCTTCGAGGGCACGGCGATTTACGTACTCCTCTGCGAGCTCTGCCGCTCTCGTGATAGTATCTACTCCTTGTCTATCCTGAACCCAGTACCTAATGTTTTCAGGTAGACGCCGAAAGAATTGTTCCAACGCAAAACACTGCAGAGTCTTTTCCGCGTCGCCAAGCGCACCCTCCTCTCTAAGCCATTCCTCCAGATTTACCTTTAAGGTGTACGCAAACTCTGGGTATGACTCGTCTTTGGCTTTCTCGATCTCACGAAATTTTCGCCTGAACGCCTCCGCTGACAGTCTGTACTTTTTGAGCAGACTCGCTTTGACTCTGTCATAGTCGTCTGCGTCTTCTTTACCCATACGGGCTATAATGTCAGCTACTTCACACGGCAGCAGCGTAAGCAAGCGCTGGGGCCACGTGTTTTTAGCAAAATTTTCCCTCTCGCACGTGCGCTCAAAGTGCACCAGAAAAAGACCCATGTCCCCTCCTACCGCGTAGGATGGCATCAAATCTGTCATTCGGCGCTCTCTTTCTCGTGCCACTGCGCTAGCTCCGTTCATTGATTGAGCCTTTGCTAGTTCAATTTCTAGGCGTTTCATTTCCATACGATCGATACGTTCTCTTTCCCTTTCCTCTTTTTCCTCATGACGTCTCTGTTCCTCTTTTTCCTCACGACGTCTCTGTTCCTCTTTTTCCTCACGGAGCCTCTGCTCCTCTTTTTCCTCACGGAGCCTCTGCTCCTCTTTCCTTTGCGTAATAGCCTCCAAGCATTCGCTCAGCTCCTCGTCATCTGCCCCGATCTTCTCGATGGCGTCAATGATCTCCTGCTTTCTTTTCGTCTCGGCAATCACCTGGCCCAGCTCTCGGGCCAACTCTAACAACTCTGGCTTTTTTAGTCCCTTCAAATTCATGGCGGTCCTTGGTGCTGCTAACTCTTTTAACTAAACAACTTTGACGTACTATCAATACTTCCGTCCACCGTTACCAAATCACTGCTTTGTTTACAATCCTACGCAAAGCCTGGTGATATCTCAGCAAAGAAAAGCAGTGCACTCACCCTATGCAGTCATGAATTCGGACGCGTTCCTTCCAGTGTTGTCAGTGATGCCACGAAGCAGTTTTGTCCGACTCTAGGTCCTCCAGACAGCAGGTCTCAGCATTGCCTCCTGGTCGATGAGCTCGATCCCACCGCTGCCATCCAGTTGTTGGGACCTGAGTCCTGTGGGTCTCGTCGTTGGTAGCTGGCTCCCATCGGACTCGTCCCTTATAGCGAGAAGCAATGCTTATATGGGAAAACAGAGAACAGACGTTTATTTACATTAGAGAGAGGTCAATAAGAAAATTTAGATATATAGTGGCTTTTTCGAGTGGAGAGCTCGCCATGTACGAAGAACGCCACTATATATCTAAATTTTCTTATTGACCTCTCTCTAATGTAAATAAACGTCTGTTCTCTGTTTTCCCATATAAGCATTGCTTCTCGCTATAAGGGACGAGTCCGATGGGAGCCAGCTACCAACGACGAGACCCACAGGACTCAGGTCCCAACAATATCAAGACCGGATCAACCCCCAAGTTTTTCAAGGCAAGAAAAATTCCTTTTGCACTTCGCGATAAAGTGTCAAAGGAGCTTGACAGATTAGTATCCGCTGGCATAATCTCTCCAGTTCCTCATTCCGAATGGGCGACGCCCATTGTTCCAGTTTTGAAGAAGGACGGAACGGTGCGCATATGCGGTGATTTCAAGGTGACTTTAAACCCAGTGTGCGAGGTTGAGCAGTACCCATTGCCTGTCATAGACGACATATTTGCAAATTTACGTGGAGGGAAGAAATTCAGTATATTGGACCTTCGCGATGCATACAACCAGGTCGAGCTAGATGAAGACTCGCGGAAACTAGCAGTGATAAATACACCGAAGGGGCTGTTCTGCTACAATAGATTGCCGTTTGGCATCGCGTCAGCTCCTGCGATATTCCAACGGAAGATTGAATCGGTGCTACAAGGGCTGCCAGGGACACAGGCATATCTGGATGATGTGCTGATAGCCGAGAGCAACAACAATGAAAATGCTAATCTGGAAGCAGTGTTGCAGCGATTCCGCGAGTACGGCATCAAGCTTCGTGCAGAAAAGTGCAGGTTTTGTGAATCGTCGGTGACGTATCTGGGACATCGTATTGATACCGAGGGACTACATCCGCTCGAAAAGAACGTCGACGCAATCAGACTGGCCCCGTTGCCACGAAATGTTGCTGAGTTGCGATCCTTTTTAGGAATGGTCACTTTTTACAATAAGTTTCTGCCAAATCTTTCCACTGTGCTTGCACCTTTGTATAAGCTTCTTGAAAAAGGCGCAAAATGGGTTTGGCACACGAAAGAAAACTCGGCATTTCAGAAGGCAAAGAGCGCTTTGTGTTCGGCCCCAGTGCTAACGTATTTTGATCCGCAGCTGGAGTTGCTGCTGGAATGCGACGCTTCCCCTTACGGTGTCGGTGCTACCCTGTTTCACCGTATAAATGGCGAAGACAGGCCAATTGGGTTCCGGTCACGAACGCTCACCTCAGCTGAAATGAAGTACTCTCAAATCGAGCGAGAAGCTTTAGCCTTAGTGTTTGGCGTGACACGGTTCCGCGATTACCTCTTGGGTCGGGAGTTCACGTTAGTAACAGATCACCGTCCTTTGCTGGGGCTACTGAGACCGGACCGTCAGACTTCTGTTATGGCTGCCGCACGCATTCAGCGATGGGCGCTTTTGCTCGGCGCGTATAAATACAAGCTTATTTGTAAACCCGGCAGTCAGATGTTAATCTCTGATGCCCTAAGCCGCTTACCACAACCCTTGCAGGAGCCGGAAGCAGAAACGGAAAACCTCACGGAAATGGTGCTTCTCATTGACCAGCTGGACGAGCCCGCGGTTTCGCACAAAGAACTTCAAGCACTCACAGAAGCGGACGCCGTTTTACAAGAAGTATGTAGGTACGTGACTGAAGGATGGCCTTCCGTCGCGGGTGACAGCAGAGAAATGGTCGAATACTGGAAAAGGCGACATGAGTTGTCTGTCGAGAAGGGCATGTTATTCTGGGGCCATCGGGTAGTGATACCAAGAACGGCGCGTGAGAAGCTATTGAAATTGTTGCACGAATCGCATCAGGGAGCGTCCACCATGAAGACTAGGGCAAGGGTTAGCTTTTGGTGGCCCGGTCTGGATCAAGACATCCAGAGGGCCGCTTCAGACTGCAAAAATTGTGTGCAAGCTTTGCCTATGCCCCCGGAACGGAACCGCGTCAGTTGGCCAATTTCGCGTGAGAGGTGGTCGCGGTTGCACGCAGATTACGCAGGACCTATTTCCAACAAAATGCTGTTGGTAATCGTGGATGCACACAGCAATTGGATAGAAGCCATTCCAGTATCGCGAGCAACCGCTAATGCAACGGTGGATTCTATGCGAACCTTGTTCAGCCGTTTTGGATTACCGCGCACCATAGTTACCGACAACGGTACGCCTTTTACAGGGGCAGAATTTGCTCAATTTGTGCAGAAAAATGGAATCGAGCACATTCGTACCCCTCCTTACCACCCTCAAAGCAATGGGCTCGCAGAACGCGCCGTGCGAACCCTTAAGGATGGGTTGAAGAGAATGCCCGGAGTAGAACTGTCAACGGCTCTGTCAAGAATTCTTTTTAACTATAGGAATTCGCCACAAGCTTCAGGGGTTTCGCCGTCTGAGCTACTTTTGGGTTACCGTTTGCGTACTAGACTGGATATTTGCTTTTCTCCCAGGAACCACGAATTGCCGAAGAATCCAGGTGCTGAGTCTGCGAGTTGGTACTTCGCTCCTGGAGATGCCGTCTATGTGCGCAACTACGGTGTTGGGGACAAGTGGACGCCAGGCAAAGTGAAATCGACGAGTGGGGCACGTCTCGTCACTGTAGCAACGGAAGACGGCGTCGTTCGACGTCATGTCGACCAGGTGCGAAAACGTTCATCCGACACAGGTGCAAGCCGAGAAACAGCGACTCCAGAAGAACCGCCACCCGAGGGACAACACCGAACCACCCAGGATGCTCCGAAATGCGAAGCGGATGACCTTTCCGAAAGCCCTGTCCCCGAGTTACGTCGGTCCACAAGAATCAGAAAGCCCGTGGAACGCTACGGCTCCTAGGGGGAAGGAATGCTGCAGATAACAAGTCCGGCCAAATGACGCCCCTCGGCGCATGCGTCATTGTAAAAACTTTCCTTCTTTCTCTCCTCTTGCTTTCCTATATATATTTCCGAGCTCGAAATAAAGGCTTGTTGGTTTGCACTGCCACATCGACTGATTTCCTTGTCACCGCGGCCGGCCTATGGCCGGTAGAACGTAACAGGTATTTTATTGAAAAACACAATAAAGTAACTGCACATGCTCTTACGAGGCACAAAAACAACTTATGACGATTACAATAGTCTACAAATGAAGCTTGCTTATGTTGGAGGACTATTGGGGAAGACCGACTGACGCAGTTCAGATAGGCATTCTGTGTTTGGCACGCACCACAGGTTTCACTCTTCATTTGGTCGTGGTACAAAAAACAAAAAAAAAACTTTGTTTAAAAAAAAAAGATACTCAATCGAAAATTCGGGCCCGCGTTACGTCCTTTGCCACTTACCTTTCGCGCGGTCTTGCTTATATAAACTTGATAACGTGGAGTTTTTTTTTTCTTGTTTTATTTTTGTGGCACTGTTGTTTTCTCTGCTTCGACATAATAATAGCCTGAAACCCTCACCCCCCCCCTCACAAAAAAAAAACACGAAGAAGACCACATAGGACTTAGGCATTCTAAGGTTTCGTACAAGCTGACCGTAATGTCCGCAATTTATGACTTTTGGAGAATTATCCCAGTGAGGGATCACCAACAGTATTTGAAAATCTTGCAGCATCGTTATTTGGAAGTCGCATTTTTAGCAAGAGCGCGACAAACGCTTAACGATGCCTGCTCATGGGTCGCCATTAACGTCACTACTCGTACGGGCAGAGTTGTAAGAAGACATTAGAAGAATGCCAAAATATTCAGTATGTCCTTAATATTTTATATATCCTTTATATTCAGTATATTCAGATATATAGGTGTGTACAAATATAGAATATCTATATTTGTACACACGTATATATGCTCATATCATGCATGCATGTGCATACGTGTATATTGATGCAATGTTTTGTTCTCTTGCCCATAGTTTTTTTTCTGTTTCTTTTGTTTCAATAACATATATTTCACCGTGGTCTTTAGTGCTTTGTTCCTTGCTGTAAATTTCGCGGTATTCTACACTGCACAACAATTGTTTTTCATTGTTAACATATTTCACAGTCATCTATTTATATAATTGTTATATCAATGATATTTCGTCTACTGATACGTTCCTGGTCATCTACTATGTACATGTAAGCCATGCACCATGTGTGCCTTCAAGTTAAGCCCGGCCTTGTGTTCTTCGTTTCCGGGCCTTGGTCAAGCTGCAGACTACAGATTTTGGTTCTGAAATCATTTCGAAATGTATTTGAAAAAATAATACACTTAAATTCGAATTTCAATATATTCCTATTAGAGAGGTCGCCCGACCCGTGCGAAGGCGTGACGTGATCGCTGTTCCTCACCCCTTATGCCCCTTTCTCACCCCATACCTAACAGCAGCCAAGAGTCGTCCTTTCCTTTAATAGAGCTCACATTCGTTCATTCAATCCAACAGCAGTGTTTTGATTTGTTTTTTTTTATACTCCACAGTTTTTTTTTAATTCTTGCTACAGCACAATGAAATACGTTCGTTGTGGCTAAGACCCCGCCAGCCGCTGTGGTTCAGTCGTGCTGTCGGGCGTTTTGCTACTACACCAAAAGAACGTCTCGAGTTTCAAAACAATGCTGAAGCGTTCGGTTTATTTATACTCGTGTTTGCCTAGAGAGAGAGAAAGAGAGAGAGAGGGAATGTAGGGAAGGTAGGGAGGTTGACTAGACTATGCGTCTAGTTTGCTACCCTACACATGAGGAGGGGGAGAGGGGAGTAGAAAAAGAGTGTTTGCCTACAACCATGCTTCAATGCAATGTCCTCAGCCCGAAGGGGCGGGACATCGATACGTTGCCATTTGTGAAGGCAACATATTCAAATTATTTTTAACGCACTCAACAGAAAACGACGTCACGAAATGCACGCAGAAAACTCATTCCATCCGCGCGTTGTGTCATCGCCGTGAGTTTGACTGGCTAACTGCTAGAGTTACAGGCAACATTGTAACAAATAAGGACCGTACCCACCCCCCCTTTTTTTTCGCTGTTTTATACACAGTTAATAAGGACCATTTCAAGGGGTCCCCCTCCCTTCGCAAGTCAATAAGCATCCCCCCCCCCCTTCTAAAAAAAGTCCACTTCTGTCTACCCCCGTGGCGGAACATAACTTCTTGACGGCCCAATTTTCGAAGCGCCACCCTTTAGAAATCCGTAAGCTGTGGTTATTGTTGCCACCAGCCCCGCGCTATGTACGGAGCAAGTTTGTCTTGAGCTATGATTGTTTATTTCTGCATATTGCCACACTCCTTTCTTACGTTTCGTTATTACCCCGTGACACTGTAAATATTTCTCAGCTAAAACCACGCCTGCAGTGTTCGAAAAAATTGCCCGCAGCTTCCCTCGGGGGAACACTGACGAGGATGCGGACCATATAATTGGTTAACGGGGTGTTAAAGTGCGACTTACTTGGGTCGATGGCTAAATTGGTTAACGTGGTTGTGAAATGGGGTGTTAAATTGCGACTTACTTGGGTCGATGGCTAAATTGGTTAACGTGGTTGTAGGAGGGGGTGTTAAATGAGTGAACACGTACACACGTATGCGAAAGGGCGGCGCTGGTCGAAGGGACGTCGATCATTGTGTTTGTGGATTCGTTGGAATTCATTTCACCGCGACCTTGGACGTCGACGCGCCGTACAAACCAACCGACGAGCGGCAACTGAGCGAGCGAGCGCCGACCTTGAGTATATATACAGCACGACGGCGCATGCACTGTCAGCTGTTGAATGTTCTCGAAGCGCGACGCCACATGCGCGTCCACTGGAGAATCAGGAGAATTGTAGATGTCGAACGCGGTGTGTAGAGGAGGAAGGGTGCACAGATGGTGGAGGAGTGAAGCGCGCGCGGTGTGTAGAGGAGGAAGGGATGCACAGATGGTGGAAGAGTGGGCGACGGCGCGACGGCGCATGCGCGCGCGTCAGCTGTCGAATGTTCGAGAAGCGGTGCGGACGGCGCGGACGGCGCGGACGGCGCACTACAAGGCGCGAGTATAAGATGCTCCGCATCTAAAAGCTTCAGGACTGTAATAGGCCATTTTGTTAAGATTACGCGCATGGAACGAACATTACAGATTATTCTGAAACATACATGGCCGCTAGAGATAGCGCGGGAATATTCAACGGCACATGCATGAATGCCAACGCGTTTCACTGCTCATAACTTGATTGACGGTTGACGAACAGTTTGCCGCTATTTTTGCCAGTGTGTATCTCTGTAATCTGACCTTTCATTTACCGGCTTCAAGTTGAGCCAAATTCTTTCATCTTAGTCCTACAGTCTGCTTCTTTTATTGACGTCATGACCCCGTGACAATACCAATTATACTAGCAAGATGATTTTCTCAGCCATTATTTCAGGTTTGTCAGACTTCGCACGGCTCTAAGAAAATGTCATCCTCTCGCATTCGCTTGTCCTGCCACGTCGATTTATTTCTATTCATGGTACATAGTGGTTCCTATTTCTTGCGCGTCAGTGATGAACGCCCACAGGAGTGCCTACTGTTTTGTTTAACACTATTGCTATCAAAAGCAGCGTGCCCTAGGTGTGATCTACTCACAAACATAAACGCGATACCATGATTTCTTTTAACTACTAATATAAGCGATCTACTGGTATTAACACGGAATTTCACAACAAATATTGCACAAAACATCATTGTTTGCTTTCATGCAAATGTTTTCGGTCAAAATTACGCCGACATGACAGAATTTAAAGGTGCTAAAAATGAAACGACTTTTATTATTAGCCGTAAAATTCTGTTTCCAAACGTGAGAACCGTACTTCCCGCAATATGCCTCTGGTGTCATTTAAATGCATCTGAATAATTTACAAAGTAAACAAAAAGAATAATTCCAAACCAAATAGAAGAAAAGTGATTGGCCCGCTCTTCAAAGGAACGAGATTTTTAATGAAGTCGGACGCACGATACAAATTATCTCCCTAGAGATTAACGAACCGTCAATTTTTTTTTCTTCTCGCGCACTGTGGAGACGCCAAACACTAGCTCCTTCATTTTTGGTCTTCCGCATTCAGTTCCACATTCATCATTTTTTTTTTGTAACACCTCGCTCTATTCATTTGTATTCGCTCCACACACACCCGGAGGCGTCATGTCGTTGAGGTGTAGAGCTCTGCAGATGGACAACCCTTCTTTCTGCTCGCTGCATCAGGGACTTTGTTCCTATATCTCGACATCTGCTATGCATTTCAAACAATGATTCTTGTCATTTCTATAGAACTCCTTTGTCTGCAGTCCTCCTTTTCTGTGCTGCACGTTCGGTCGTTTAGATAGATAGATAGAGATAGATAGATAGATAGATAGATAGATAGATAGATAGATAGATAGATAGATAGATAGATAGATAGATAGATAGATAGATAGATAGATAGATAGATAGATAGATAGATAGATAGATAGATAGATAGATAGATAGATAGATAGATAGATAGATAGATAGATAGATAGATAGATAGATAGATAGATAGATAGATAGATAGATAGATAGATAGATAGATAGATAGATAGATAGATAGATAGATAGATAGATAGATAGATAGATAGATAGTCACGAGATTACATAGCTAATAACCCTAGTCGAGCGTCTCGTCACAATCATAGCCGAAGTATTACACCGTTCTTTGCCCGTACACACCAATACAAATATTCATTTTTTCCCAGAACTGTTTCCGATTGGAATGTTTTGCCAGAGTGTTCACCCTTGCTGTCATTCAATGTATAATGATTGTATACTTACCTGTTGATTATGTACCCTCACATTCATGTGTCGATCTTGCATCCGTACGCATGTCTTCTGGATGTGTACATCCCTCTCCTGCTTGGACCTCTCAAGGTTCGCAGTATTGTACAAATAAAATAAATAAAATAGATAGATAGATAGATAGATA